CACCTGGACAGGTCTCCTGTTCAGTTTACCAGAGACACCTGGACAGGTCTCCAGTTCACCAGAGACACCTGGACAGGTCTCCAGTTCACCAGAGACACCTGGACAGGTCTCCTGTTCAGTTTACCAGAGACACCTGGAAGGGTCTCCAGTTCACCAGAGACACCTGGACAGGTCTCCAGTTCACCAGTGACACCTGGACAGGTCTCCAGTTCACCAGAGACACCTGGATAGGTCTCCAGTTCACCCGAGACACCTGGACAGCTCTCCAGTTCACCAGATACACCTGGACAGGTCTCCAGTTCACCAGAGACACCTGGACAGGTCTCCAGTTCAGTTCACCAGATACACCTGGACATTTCTCCAGTTCACCAGATACACCTGGACAGGTCTCCTGTTCAGTTCACCAGAGACACCTGGACAGGTCTCCTGTTCAGTTCACCAGAGACACCTGGACAGGTCTCCTGTTCAGTTCACCAGAGACACCTGGACAGGTCTCCTGTTCAGTTCACCAGAGACACCTGGACAGGTCTCCAGTCTCCATCAGGGACACAAAAGAGACAATCAACCATCCACACTCTGTCACACCTGGAGTCACACAGAAGAGCTCCAGAAGGTTTCAAACTGAGAACTCTGGACTCAGATCTTCTGCTGCACACAGTTCTGATCACTTATTATCAGTAATAATTTTATTGATAATTATCATGAGGAGTCCTTAACTAGGATGTAGTTGGGCAATTAAATATTCATGTATGTGTAATTTTAATACCATAATTGCAGGTGAGTCGCACAAATTTAAGTTTTTATAAAACAAGTAGTGCCCCCTGCCGCCTGTCCTGAGCCTGGTTCTGCTGGAGGTTTCTTCCTGATTATTTCCCTGCCTATTAATTTCTGACTGTTATTTTTATATCAGCCATTATCAAAGACATTTTCTGAGTTTCTTATGAGAGAGTAAAACGGTACAATATGTTAAGATAACACTATATTGCCAAAAGTATCTAATAAGTCTAATATCTAAAAGTCTCTAATGTATTTTGTAATATTAGCTTCACAGCTTTATCTGACGTTTCTTTACCATGATTTGTGTGACCGTGGAGGCAGAGCCATCTTACTTTATGTGTCACAACAATTACTGACAAAGTGTCACTAATTAACATTCAAGACAATTTTAATAGGATAAATCCTAAATTAATTACAAACAAGGAGTCATTATAAAACATTGTTCAAAGTATTAACTTTTCTGGGCTTTCATCCAAATTCAGTCCAAATAATAATTATAAAACTATAAAAATTAGTTTTATGAGCAGAGAAGACGGTTTTTTCTTTAGCAATGCTGTCAATCGAGTCTTTTGGACAGGACTGATGCATGATGGGAATTTTATAGGGCAGCAACGATTAATCGATTAATAGACGACTAATCGATTATTAAAATAATCGATGACTAACTTAATAATCGATTAATCGTTTTCTTTTTTTTGTTCTTTACTTTGTTTTTTTCTCTCCAAACTGCTGTGACTCCTTCCACTGCCACATCTGCCTTTCTGTCCTTGACACACATGCACAGTAGTGGTAACTGGGGTAGGCCGTGGACGTCACAAGACATTATACAGACAGGCTCTGGTATCATGGCTACCTGACAACAGAGCTCAAAGTGTGGGATCATTTTAAGAAAATGAAAGAGAAACCTGTGTAATATCTGCAGAGCAGAACTTACCTTCCACAGCTATTATTTTTAGTTAGCATATAGCTAAAATCTAACCATGGTAGGGTTGGGCACAATCATATCGTGTGCAATTAATCGTCAGAAAAACATTAATCGATTGTTTTTTGGCACTTGACGATTAACACGATTAATGCCACCAGGCAGACTGACTGGTAATTTTCCCGTTCGGTCTGGTCGGTGTTCCTCTCCGCTTCAAATATAACGAACATAAAAAAAAAAAATTCTGAAATTGATTTATCTATCAACACAGTTTACAATTTAATGTACAGCCCGAAGTCTGTAATTTTGACAATTTGGAACAGATTTTTATGAAGAGCAAATATTTCCCACTAAATTGGTCATAAGACCAGACAAAAGGGTGTCCAGGGGATTATCGTCAAATTAATCGTTATTGGCTAAATACCACAATTAATCATGATTTCTTTTTTGCCAATATCACCCAACGCTAAACCATGGTTATATAATAGCAGCTGCATTCTGGCACGATAAGCTTTATGTTTTATATTTAATTAACATATGATCTGATTATTTGACTAATCGAAAAAAATAATCAGTGATTAATCGATTATAAAAATAATGGTTTGTGGCAGCCCTAGGGTCAAACGTTTTAGTCAAACAGGACCAACAAGAATGAAACAAAAAGTAAAGAATTAGAGAAAAAAATAAATGT